ACGCGCTACATATTTTGACCTTGCACAGCGTGGTGGCCTATGTAAACTCACAAACGTTTACCATGACATCACTCAGGCAGCAGAGACTTAGCAAAATACTAGAAGCACCTAATTTGAATTTTTCCCATGAAGGAATTAACATGGCCGACCGGATGAGCGGGGGAGAACCACATGTGTGTGAGTACCGGGTTCAGAAAGAAGAAAAGGTGAGGCTGGATTTGGAAGCAGAAAAAATAGAGGGGACGGAAGACTGGTTCACAGATGGGTGTTGTTTTAGAACAGACATAGGAGGATTGCAGGCAGGATACGCAGTTGTGGCCAGACAGGGTCAAGACTACGTGACCTTGAAGGCAGAAAGGCTGGAAGGAACCCAGTCAGCTCAAAGGGCAGAAGTGATAGCCGTGATTGAGGCGCTAAAATTAGCAGACGGAAAAGAAGTCACAATATACTCAGACTCAGCATACGCGGTAGGCGCGGTGCATGTGGAACTTAGCCAATGGCTGAGAGCAGGATTTTTGACTGCGGGAAACAAGCCAATAAAACACGAAGCAGAGATGAAAGAGCTGGCAGAAGCCCTAATGCTTCCTAAAAAAGTAGCAGTAGTAAAATGCAAGGGCCATGAAGGGTCAGGAACAATGGTAGCACAGGGAAATCAGGTAGCAGATGAGGAAGCAAAGAGGGCAGCAGGATACCAGGTGACCAAACAGATGGTCACGGTAGAGGAGGAAGTTAGGCTGAGCGATAGACTAACCCTAGAGAAAGTGAAGCAAGAGCAGGACAAAGCCTCTCCAGAGGAGAAAACTATGTGGCTCGAAAAAGGGGGATGCAAAGAGGGGGGGCTGTGGCAGAATAATGAAGGAAAACCAGCTCTTCCTCCCGGCATTCGTCAGACGATTTTTGCAGAGGCTCACGGGGTTGGTCATGTGGGGGTGAAACAGATGTTAGAAAATTTGACTGTGTGGTGGCATCCGTTTATGAAAGACATGGTGCAGGGACACGTTCAGGGTTGTGTGACCTGTACCTTTCATAACCCGCGACCCACGGTCAAGCCGGAAAAAGGACGGTTCCCAACATGTACAAAGTCGGGGGAAGAAATTATCATAGATTACACTGATATGATTATTCCAGTGAGAGGGCTCAGATATGTGTTGATGTGTGTGGATGCATTCTCAGGGTGGCCAGAAGCATGGCCCACCAAAAAGGAGGACGGAGCGTCTG